TATATGCATGCAAGAGCAATTCTGTCTTTATGTGTTAAAATCTGATCATCTCAGCTTTTTCTTGTCAAGGTGTAGGAAAAGTGATGATGAAAACAATGGCTCAATATGTTTCTTTTGTCCTCTGTCCGTCCTCATTTCAGTCCACCGTTGTCACTCGTCTTGCTGCGTGGTTTTCATATATAATATTTCTTATTCGTATTTATATTTTTTACAAGGTATAAAACAGACCCATGGGCATGACGGATTCATTGTTTGAAAACATCTAAGCGAGGCGAGGGGGTAGAAGGGACGGAGGAGGAGAAAAAGAGGGAGGAAGGGGGAGGTTCTCCATCCAAGGCTGTCTTGTGATTTGTCCCTTGCTGGAGATTTTTTATTTTTTATTTTTTTTAAAAAAAAAGGAAAAAGGCCCCCCTCTTGATCCAAGGCTGATGAGGAGGGTTGGGTGGAGGTAAAGAGGGTTCAACCCCTCACCTCTATTATGTCATTTGATGTGGAGCTTCTAGCATCTCCATAAGGAAGGTGTCAATGGGCGTGTCGCCGATGAGCTTGAAGAAGAACAGGTGCTCTAGACACTTAAGACCGATGGAGCGCAGTGCAGGCAATCGCAGCAACAGCTTAGCAAATCTGTCACAACACAAAACAAGAATTTAGCACAGGATGAAAAGCTGAAATAATTTTAAAGTATTTCTAAGCTTGCAGTTTCAGGGGCATTAGTTTTGGCATAAATATGCACTTTGTCATAAGCAGGCGCTCACCCATCCAGCTGCAAGTTATGATTTAAGAGAACTGGTGATGCTTGCACACACAGGCCTCACATTAAATATAAGACTAAGAAAAACCTGTTTTGAGCAAATGGCAAAACTTCAGTGCAAAACTATCACACAATAATAATTTTAATAGTTTTTTATGCAGCTGTAGATGGGTTTCAGCAAACTTTCAAGCTGAAAATAGCCCCGAAAAAGCCACAGATGTGCCAGAAACTGCAATTCCTGACACAACCACTTGAGGCAGATTCCAAAAGCTAACCAGTCCCCATATACCCTCATGATAACATGCCCAACATGTTTGCAACCAAATGTAGTAAATATCTATACCCCCCTTGTTTTTGATGACCAAAATTGCCATCCCATTAAAAAAACACAAAGAATTAGTATCACATAAATCAAGCTTATACTATAAGTTAAAACATCATCTACTGTATCAACTCAACTAATACGGTCACATTTGGTTTAAAAAAAATCCAAATTCTGTCAATGATTCATATACCAATTCACAACATCAATTTTTGATATAGTCTATGTCAAAACTGATAACACGGTGAACTCAAAGCTACTGATAAAACACGTTTCTTGTGTGGGTGTACTTCAAGCTTTTTTCTTTGACTTCTACCTCATGAGAGGCTGTCTGGGTTGAGACTTTAAATATTAATAACAGCTGCAACAATAAACACACTCGTGCTCTTGATTTTCTCAGCACCGCAAACTGGTAATGTAACAATAAGGGCTCGGTGTTTATGATCTTACCTGCCAGGCTGCTCTGGGTATTTCTGTTTGCAGTAGGCCTCTAAAGACGCGTAGACTTTCTCTCTCAGAGCTTCTACTTCGCCTGGGTTGGACAGACCTTTAGAGTCTGCGGAGAGTGGCAGAAAGAACAAAAGAATTCACTACACCATGTGGCTAGGCTGTGCTGCTGTTATTTGTACACAACTGGACATTCTTCTTCACTATAAAAAGAAAAAAACCCCCAAAGAAGTAAACAAGTAGGCGTGAAAAAGCTTTCAAATCTGCACTTTTGCCCAGTGGAAAAACTAGCATAACTCAATATGGAAAAGCATCTCCACATTCTGGGCTAGTCCAATTAAGACCGCAATTCTCAAGCTGCACCAATTTAAGCTTCACTGGACTCATCTTTGATTAACATTTCTGACGAACAAAGCATTGTGAAGTTGACAATCAATGAATGTACATTGGTTGTTAATGGCTGGACCAGATCACACAGTGTGTGAAAGAAAAGGACTGAGGGCCATTTTTGCCTTGCTGTTCTCTTCACCCCCACCACCGTATGTTTTTTCTCCAGTCAGTGTAGTCTTGCAAACCCCTAATTAACAAGGAATCAGGCGGAAAAGTGAACAGGGGCCAGTGGGTCTGGGTATGGCCTGAACAAAATGTGAAACACAGAGGATCAGTGTGTCCAGGGTGAGCAGATCCGCAGAGCCCCAGAGAGATTCAGGGAGCCTCCCTTACTGAGTCACTAAAAACCTGGGTCACATTCATGGGTTAGTTCAGTCCACTTAGATTCCATTTGGATAAGGTTTAAATACAGAACAGCACACTCATAGCAGAAGTGCCTTGGCAAGACACGGGCCTCAATTAAAGAGCGCACTCTTTCTTTGGACCTTTGCGGGGGAATGTAGTAAAATTTACACAAGGTTGGCAAATTACAAAATAAATGAGAATTCATCAATTTCAAGTGAAAATGGTGCCTTGAGAGAATCAAGGTCAACTCAAGGAGATAGTTTCCATTACAAGCTGAGATACCAGAGCTGAGACATAAGTGATGCACAGCGCAACAGCGTTCTTGAATCTAAATACGTTATATTTACTTTTAACAAAAGTCTGGCAGCATTTTGAGACCATTTCCCCAATGTGAAAAGTTGTTCCCACTGGAATTGATTAAAGCCAAATGAAAGCTGAGCCAATGAGAATAAGACACATTTGTCATGTTCTATTTTAAGCCTGCTGTGGGATAAGGTTTAATAATCAAAGTTGAAGAGTTTGTGTTGACTAAGCGTTACGCTTCGAGTCCTCAATGACTCATATTCTATTCCTGCAACGTCTGTGTCGGCTGATTATAGCTAGAAACAGTAGCAGCACCACGCCACAGTGCACAAGATCTTTATACTTTTAATAAAAGTTGCATTTCACTGGAATACGCTGATGTTCAGAAAGAAAGAAAAAAGCCAGTATACAACAATTACTCTGAAGGAAGAATTACACAGCGCAGTAGTTTGATGACCCATTTCTCTAAAAGATTTTTAGTCATTTTACATTACTGAATATATATATATATATATATATTTTTTTTTTTTAATGAAAGTTGAAACTAAAAAAAAGAGACAAAAGAAACAAGAGTTTGCATTGTACAAACAGCAAATGAAAGCTTTTATATAATATACACAATGGTTACCTGGGTTGAAAAGGACAATAGCTCGAAGGCACCCCAGTTCTGTCTTATCCATCTGCATGTCCCTCATCTTTGACACCAGCTCTGTCAGCACTCTGCACAAAAGCAACAGGAGACAGTCAGAGATGCTACTCAGGTTAAAATACTATGTCAAGAATATTTAATTCTTGGCTAATAGACAATATTTGTGTAAAATGAAACTAAACCAGTGGCAGAAAATTAAAGATCACACTTAACTGGATTTTTTTTTTTTTTTTTTTTTGCAAATGACACATTATTCTTGACTGGTGCATTGCAAATACGGTTTTAACCACTTTCAAGTTTGCCTCTATTTGAAAAAACATGCACACAAGCTTACTCTGGGCCCACACTGGCACAGTTAGATCAGTGGAAAAGTTTACAGCCCTGCAAAGTAATTATATTTAGTACATGGTTTTCATAAAATGAAAGCCGCAGAGTAAACACAAGCTGTAATCTAACACCAGTGCTCCCACTGTCTGTGTGTGACATCACGGGTGGGAGTGGTGGCGTGTGGAGTCGCTCGAACTCCTCACCCCACTTTGACTCGGTCACACCCTCTCCCTGGCACTCTTTATTTTCCCTCTCACTCAGTTTCTTTCTGCTCCTCGCGCCCAGATAGTAAAGTCAATTGTGGCTCTTAGCTCATTCTAATTCAATTTGCTCTAAGGAGGAACAACAGAGCTTAAAAAAAGACAGAGAGGGAGAGAGAGAGGAAAGGGACTCAAGCGTTTAAGTTGATCAGTCTCTTCATTTGTATGGAGAAGAGACAGTGGACCAGATAAAGAAACATTATCAGTTCTCTGCATCTTAATGCTTGCCACAGTTAATAAAGAGATGGAATATGTCCTGTGGCTGTGAACGCTGATGACTGAGCGCACAGGCTGCTGATCAGAGGCGCAAGAAGGGAGACACAAAGAAAGTACTCAAAGTTTGACTGTGGCTTGACTGAGTCTGATGACAGCACGTGCAGCTGCAAATTCTCTGCTGGCTCCAAAACTGTGCAAGGAAACATGCGCTTCATTTGCAGTTTTTAATTTTCAAAATATAATAACAATCCATGACCAGAACTGTTCAAGAGTAACGTAGTTTAAAAAATATATATTTACAAAAAATCCCAAACCAATACAAACAAAATGTAAGATATATTTTTCTTATACGTTTGACAAACTTTCATAAGGGTGGTTCCTGCATCCAGCTGCGCTGTGACTCTATGGTGCATGGATTGTCTATATAAGATATGAGAGGTTCTGTGTGACCCCTGTTGTGTACAGGCGTAAATATTTTATATATTGGAGTCAATCAATTGTGCCTGTGCTGCTTGGTTTTCTGTAACGCCCACCTGCGGTTTACAGTATTCCCCATTTTGTGTAACATTTCATTGTTTCGATTCAATGTTACATGAAATATTCTACAAGGGGTGGACATTTAGTAGAATTTTAATCTCGATCAGAATTTTGTCTTCCCACAATTATGACATTTAAAATGCATACTCTGCCAATATAAAACGCAAAGCAAAAGCAATTTAGGCACTCTCTAAATCAGCACTTGATCATGTGTCTGTGTTTGCCTATCACAGCTGGTCCCTGCAGCACAAAGCTTGAAGTTGGACTAAAAGACAAATATACAACAAAAATCCAATGTCTGGCACAGCAGAACGCAAGGAGCTTGTCTCTTGAATTGGATCAACATCCGTTGTTTGGATTTTGGGGGAAGTGATGTTAAGAACAAATCATAATGGAAGAATGCTGTGAAAGAGTGCTGCTTTGCATTGCAGATGCAACTGAAAATATGCCACAAAATGCAGTATAATTAATGAATTAAGGCCAAGAAAAACAACTACAGATGTAAATTGCCCAAGTGCCAATTAAAGGGAGCCTGTACGACACAACAGCGTGTACATCCAGCTCACAAAGACACACTGGAATTGTTACAGTTATTATTCCACATTGGCAATATTTGTGCTGTATCAAAACCTCATGGGATTTCACAGCTGGCAAAGACTTTGCTCTGAGTTTTAGTCTGAGTTTCTAATGCTAACGTGTTATCAGTAGAGAGACTGATACACCGATGAGCCGATATTATTGGCTGATATTACTCATTTGCCATTATATTGATATCAGTATTTTTAAACAGCCGATAAATAAAAAATTTAAAATATATGAAGAAACAGGAGAACTAACTTTAACCATGTTACGAGATTGATGCTGCATAGTTTGTCCACCAGGGGGCCGTCTACAACTTCTCTAATGCAATGTGTTTAGACTGCCAAATCAGCTGATCTGACAAAAGTTAGGCAGAGAATAAAGGACTAATCCAAATGTTTTTGTAACAATGAAACAAGTTTATTTTTAAATTTCTACAACATCTTAGTAAGGACTTATAAATAAATAAATACACTTAACAAATGTTTTGTGTCCCTTGATGTTAAACAAAATATCGGCTGATACTAAATATGAGTATCGGTAAGACTAATACTTTTCTAACTCTTTAACTTTTATTAACTTAAAAAATAGGCCACCTTTATAAATCACAATATTATCAAAGCACTACTTTCAGGTTGCATTACATGCTACTCGAGCACACCTTTAGAAAGTGCTACCTAATATATTATTTACAAAAGTTTTTGGTGCAGTTTCTACATGAATTTAGATGTCACTAAGTCCAAGAAAATTTAGTAACCTGTCAAAGATGGCTCCCACTCCAGCACTGTGGGCGCTGTTGCGGTGAACGTGCAGCCCCGTTGCCAGCAGAATCCCGTCTTTAACCGCTATCGAGCGGTGCGAAAATGATGCAATGAGGAGCTCGTTCCAACCTGAGAAAGAGATGAGGAGAGGGACTGAGAAAAAAGTATGAGAAATAAAACCACTCACACTCTCCGAAATCCCCAGTACAAAAGTTCACACAGCATTCGAGCAAAATGAAACTGACAACAAAGGAGGGAATTCCAATGAATCAATTAAGCTGCGCACTAAAAGCATGCAGCTTTCTCAAGCACAGGCATCAGGTTATTACTAAGACATTTGAATCATGCTTTCTAAAGAGACAAGCGTGTAAACGGGATGAACTGCGCCTGCCATCGCAATAAAGACAACAGGCTTGATGCGCCAAAGCAGGGGGCTCGACACGGAGTGCCGAAGACACAAGACGCTGCCGTTTGAGTGACAGGGCTCCTTTAACTGTTCTGCCTGGCAACACCCGCCTCTTCTCCCCAGAGTTGAGTTGGGTATGAGCGGAGCCGGGATGCTTTTATCTGTGATACAGCAGAACTAAAGCGGTTATTTATAGAAAACCTGAGAGCAGAGACGAGCGTTGCCGAATAATGTCTCTCTCTCCGCTTTGCTGAAGTCTCTCCATCTTTTTATATGTGCAAAGGATAAGAATGATGGGAGGATTTATTTATTTTATTTGTTTTTTTTAGGGTAAGGGATGGGTGCGTTATAGCATTTTTTTTCCTGGAGGAGAATTTAGAAAATAATGGTGTAATTTAGAGTGACAGGCAAGCAACAAGGGCAATGTGTTGGGAGAACCCAAAAGACCTTCCTGCATGTGACATTAGTGACTGTAGCAGAAGTGACAGATGATTCACTCTCCGTTTTACGTCGCTGCTTCTGTGATGCTTGCTTTTCCTCATACAGCAGATGCATGAAGAGACTCTGGGTCTGTCTCTTGCATCAGTCACATGACCGAGAGGTATCCAAGGTTATGGCCAGAGTAGTTTAGTGTTCTCTTTTTTTCTGACTATATTATTAATGTTTATGGGCATCTGTTGTATCTACAAATGTGACTTATTTAACAATGAAAACAATGTCCTGTGATTCTGTTATTTTTATTTTTATTTTTGTTTAACCCTTATTATTTTAAACAGCAGCAATTACTTGCCTTTTTAATACACAGTCAGTGGGCATAATACAATACATCTTACACTGAGTAATCAGTGGTTTGTTGAACCAGCAAATTTGATTCAATTTATTCATATAACAATGACCATTGATTCCAACCCATATCCTGTTAATTATATATCATCACTGCCAATCACTGCAAATTTTTTGGTGGTTAGATTATGCAAAATACTTAAGTCAGCTCGACAGACCTGCTCGTAGAAGGATGACCTGGTCGTCCAGCGGCAGCTCAGAGAAGTGGGGGATTCTTTTAGCCCACTCAACCAGGGTAAAAAGTTGTTTGTCAGCTGCTTGACAGATATTTGTCACTGGGTCGTTGGGCTGCAGGGGATGAGAGACAAAGATAGAACAGGTTAAAATAAGTCAGAAAATCAACTACAGTGTGAATTAAATAAGATTGAAATGTTAGCTTTGTGTCTTTTGGCTGAGAGCCTTGTGCTAGGGCATAATTGAGCTACAGTGCTATGACAACGTATTTCCCCTCCCTTCCCGATTTCTTAGTTCTTTTGCGTATTTCTCACACTTGCTACCAATGGTGGTACAACCAGGTATTAGGGTTTAGGGGGCAATTACTTTTTCACATGGTGCAAGGAAGGTTTCGATTTCCTTAACCTTTTAAAGCCAAGCGTATCGTATTTGATGCATGTGTTTTTGTGAGTTTTTGAGACGTCTATATCATCAGCGTGACTTTTTTAACCCTATAAAATATAATTGGCATAACATATTTTTTAACACATTTTTAATGACTAAATTGCAAAAATATGGCTAATGTAGCAAATGTAATACAAATTAAAACTCATACATATGCAGATTAAAATTTGATATATCAAATATTTTTTTTATATATATTTATATAGAGAGATTTTCTATAGATTTCTGGCAGTTATTTCATGGTTCAGGTTTTAAAGGGTTAGTAAATTTAAAATATTGATTTTAAAACTCCATTTGTATTTACTCAGTATATCTTTGTCTAATATTAAAATTTGTGTTATGATCTGAAACATGTAACTGTGACAAAAGTGCAAAAAAAATAAGAAATCAGTAAGGGGCTTTTTTCATGGCACAGTACCTATAACTTCGTAATCACACACACACCGACACCAACATGAGTGCCCGCCGTGAATAATATCTTCTAAAGAGGTACGGTGAAAAAACAAACAGTGATTCTGTCTCAGCTTGTGGAGGAAATACCTGCAGAGAGCTGTCAGCGAAAAAACAACTTTCGCTGAGCTGACTCTTTCTTTGGGGACCTTTTAGCCAAAACACAAATCAGCCTCTCTGACAGCTAGTAGAGCTCAAGAGGCCCTCGAGAGGCTCCACTGACACTTTACTACAGAGCAAGTGGTTAGGAGCTCAAAGAGGACTTTATCACAGCACCAGGAACGGCTTTGTAAAATGTTAAACCAATGTGCTCACAGTAGTGCTTCTAATAATGATTGTGTAATTACACAATAAACCTCTCAACATCATCGTGGATGAATTTGGGTCCTTTCTTCACTACGTTGCTGCAGTTCATTAAGAGCATTTGTTTATGCACAGCTCTCTTTAGGTCCCACCACAATATTTCAGTTGAGTTGATATTTCCACAGATTTGTGGGCCAATGCAACAATTTAAATATTTTTTTTTCAGCCAATCTGTTGTGGTCTTGTTGCTGGCCAGTTATATACGACCAAATTTTGGTCACATAACCGGAAGCTCTAGCAGTCAGACAAATGGCCTCACATTTCATCGTGAGTTCATCGTTGACCCAAGGACAGAAAGGTCCCCAGGTCAAATCATCATGCCTCCACTTCTTTTCTTGACAGTTGGTATGAGGTGTTGTGTTTGGTTTTCACCAAATGTGATGCCGTGCATTATGGCCAAACACTCTGTCCAAATGGCATTGCTTGGGGTTTTTGTCTCGAGGTTTGTTCAGTTGCAACCTCACGGACCTAAGCCATTCTGTCATGTTCTTTGAAGAGTGAAGAGGCCATACTTGTTCGGTCTTTTGTTATGAACTTCAACATTTAGCACGCTAACTGAGGCCTGTCTGAGATCTTTGTGCAGTGCATCATCTGCCCTTGGGGTGATTTTGCTGGGACGTCTGCTCCCCACTGGGAAGACTGTGGTATTGTGTTAACACGCACCTGAAAGCTCCAGACCGGCAAACTGCCAAAATTGCTTTTATAGAAGTTGTCATAGCTGCACCAAGAGCAAAAAAAAACTTGTCCATTGATAGACAACGCAGCATACAAAATTTAATTCCTGAAAACAAACGTTTCCCGCTCACCAAAAAAATGAAAGGGAAAAGAATGTGTGCACTTTTTTAGCTTTAGTCAACAAAATAATGGTATGAGCCTAAATAAATGCATGTCTTTTATTTAGAGCTTATTTTTTTAACATACAAACTGAAGTTGAGGTGAAAACAAAGCCAGATTTGATCTTTATCTGCTAATGTATATCTAATGATAAGTGTGTTCTTTATAGAAGAAGACAACTTCTGCATGCAATGAATGCAAAATTGCAAAGACAAGGACTTGTTCTCCTTAACTGTCCTGTCACATTTGATTCAAAAGTATTGTTCTTTGACCCTTGGGGAGTAGCGGTAGAATACTAATGCAATGCATACATGCTCCATGACTAACTCAGTAAACTGTAACTCCATCTGGGCTTTGGGTTAAAAAAATCCACAACAATACTGCCATTCTCTGACAAGTAATTCACAGCCATCCCAAGAGTACACATGCTACTCTTGATATGCGTGTGTGTAAACAAAGGCTTTGTGAACATGCTTTTGTGCATAATTTTAAATCAAGTCAGCATCCCTAAATTCTAAGTAGCTCCACATGAACTCGCCCTCTGACAAAAACAGTTAGCAACTTCTCCCCAACTTCTCCTCCAAATCCCACAGATCGATGCTAAAAGCTAGGAGGATCCTGACATCAACTGCAGCTCTCCAGAGGAGATTAGCTCAAGATGAAGGAGAAAATATCTCTTCACTCACATTCTCCTTTTATAAAACACAGGGCAAAGACTATCCCATCCTCTCCACTACATTCCCTCCCTGCGGTGTGAAACTAACACACTGACTGCAGAGCATCACAAATACGCAGCTCAAATCTGAAAAACTTAAACCAGACACAAAGCCTACACTGTTTTGAAAACTGTAAGTCATCTTGTTTTTTTTTTCTTCAGGGAGAGAAAGAAAACAGGCACCTTATGAATATTTCAGCATCTGATCTCCGTGGGAGATGTGGACGCCGCAGCTCAGTACGACAGTTTTCGTGAACTGCGCTTCCTCCCCAAAACATAAACAGATCCGGTTAATTCATTCCAAAGGGCACAGCCCGCCAAAAAACAAATAAAAACCACAGGGGGCTTCAGCGTGCGCCACAATTGAGCCACCGCTCCCCATAAGAATACAAGTCCCAGGGTTCTCGTTAAACATGGCAAACCTTATGAATGTTGCATGGCTATCTTAGATGTGTTTAGACTGACCTGGTTTCTTTGTCACCGTCTGTGAAGATGACGAGGAGAGGGGCTTACAACTTCCTCAAACAATTCATCTAAGTACAGCATTACATCTACTGTACTTACTGTTCAAGCCAAAGAGTGGACTTTAGGATGTTATCAGCCCCTGACCCATGAAAGGATAACCTCTACAGTTATAAAAAAAATTATCTCACAGGTTAGGTAGAAAGACTACTTTTTCTTTTAATTTGGAGATTAGTGGCAAAAAATGTGGAGGAAAAACAGCAAGAACACCAAAAAACCCACCTGACACAGAGAGTAAGGTCATAAACGGACATTTACTGTTTTTTTGTTTTTGTTTTAGTTTTGTTTTTGTTTTTTTTTTGGGGGGGGGGGGGGGGTAGATTATTTAGGCATTTTTTTTATACGTCTCCCACAAACAAAACTGTCTGCAATCCAGGCAAATCAAAGTGTTTCTAGCAAGACACCCTTCCACTTCTGCGGTCGATTAGCAACTTGCATTCTTCCCTATGAAATTTTCATGGGGAGACAAAAGATTTGCCCTTCAGTCTTTCATTATTGTGCTTGAACCACACTGTACTAGAGTGACAACAGAGAGAACATTGGGTACTCACATAGATCAGGATAAAAATGAATTACTCAAGTGTCCCACTTTTTAGATTTAAAAAAAAAAACAACAACAAAAAAAGCCTTTCTTCATATGTCATAATTACAGTTAACAGAAAGATAAGACCTTTTATTAAAATTCTCCATAAAGTAATTCAAATATAGTAGAAACAACAGCAAGAAATAACACAAAAAAGAAAGAAAATGGGATGTATAAAATGGAAGTAAACCCTAAGGATTAGTGAATGATAACATTTTCCCCTCTGCCCTTCCTACTTAGAAGAAGACCTCTCTCTCACTGACTAAAGGCATATTACTAACGACTGTTTAACTCCTGTTCTAGGTCAGCATGAGATAAACACACCTTATTCAGCTTGGCCAGACCCCGACCATTAGACAGTGGCGGTGGCCTATTCATGGTGTACACTCATGACCCAGGTCATGTGATTAATTACAACATGGAGCACTGGTTCTCAATGGAGACCTGGTAGGGGGGAGGCAGGGGAACAGCATTTGGATAGCAGAGGAGTCCTTGTGGTCAGGACAGAATGCATGCCAAGCCTCTGCCAACATTGCAGGCTTCACTTCAATTAAAGGATCCGCTCACTCAAATCAAAAAACAAAATTATATTTCATTTTTTATTCCTCGTCATATCCAGCTATACTTAATGTCCTGGTTTAGGGTTTAGGGTTTATATACAGTAGTGGCTAAGAATTTTAAATGCCCACCACAGCCCAGGCTACCAATACTTGGTTGGTGGACAAACTGAGTGACACCAATTGTTGCTGGGCATCTCCTACCAATAGCCTGGAATCCAGTTCACCTTTGTGAGGTATATATATATATATATATATATATATTCACATATATCTTACAGTAGCTTGGTAACATTAAGTGCAAACACAGCTAACATTATGAAAGATTTTTTATGGTTGAAGATAATTAAAGAACAACTTCTGTTTATTCTTCTGGCAACAGTGTTTAGCCTTGTTAGACTCTGTTACACTTTATCTTTTTGCTAAGCCCATTGACTAGTATGATGACTTTGCCTCTGGGGGCAGTGGGGATTTTTCACGGCTTCCAGCGTGAGGATATTGGACTCTCTATTCTATTAGCCACTCACTGCTCATGAGAGAAGATTCAGCTGATAAATATTTAAATCTCTAACAATAGCTAATATTCGTGATATTATATTTCGATAAATACCTTTCCTCTGTCTTGCTTTCAATGCAGACATTTATTTTATTTATTTCCATGCATCGATTAAACTTTGGCTACAAACAGACAACAAAAAGAAACCAAAAAGCTCTTGACCCTTGATGACCCTGAATATTTGTGTATTTAACAGGCAGATATCTGTTTGTAGCTTAGAAGGTAAAGGAAGGCGACTACCAATAAAAAGGTTAGTGGTTTGATCTCCAGCTCCTTCACTTCACATGACCAAAGTGTCCTCGGGCAGAATACTGAATCCCAAATTGCCTTTGATACATTCATCGGTGTAATGCATTACATTAAATTTTTAAAACTATCTTCAGCATATTCATATGATTTCCAATATGATTTTGCTCAGGAGTTGGCAAAGAATACATTTAAAACAAGCCTTTAAACACTTTCATTGCGGTTTTCTAATCTGTTGCGGAGGCCCTTAGAAATCTTCCTCTTGGTGTTGGGCAGGCAGCGGGCATCGAGAGACCCAGCATGGCAGAGCCCAAACACTCAGTGCATTAGTATGTCTGAGCTGCTAGCCGCTCCCCCATGAATCCCTACTCCTCCTTCCTCTCCCTATAATGCCAACGCTCATCTCCTACATTTCCATCTGGCCCCCCGAAAATAGCTCCCATTTACTCACATAACAGCCTTCACATTTCTACCTTTACTTCACAAGACATTTCCTTCCCCCGAAGCAGATGAATCCCAGAAGAAGTCCCCTCTCTCTCCCTCCCTCATTCAGTCTCACTCTCCCATCTCTCCCCCCTCCCCGCCTCCTTTGGTAGGCTTCTGCACAGCTCCTCTGTTTCCCATGTTTCCCAGCAGAATTCCTGAGAAAGCTGAGGCTTTGTGGTATGCTTTCAGGAACAGTCTGCCTGTTGCATTATTCATCACTCCTAGTCTCCACTGTGTCAAAGACGGCCCACAGTGCCCAGCTGATACTAAGGGGCATATATGAGGAAACACACAGCTGAGTGAAGGAGCTAATAGACCAGGTAAGCTAGTTCCTGAGTCCACAAGTGGTAACCTAAAAAGCCCCGAAGGAGATAACAAAGGTATTTATATTTGATATTCAGTAACATGTCTACCATCAGGCAGCAGGTAGATGAGAAAAACAGCCGCAAGCTTTAAAAAACAGGGAACTAAAATGTGTAATTTATCTGAAACATGGTTGATGTGAAACATTACTACAGCAAGCATATCCACATGCAGGCAAATCTGACTTGACTTATACGTTTGGCACTCTTCACTGCAGAACTGAAATACATGAAGCACTCACACATGGAAAGAATTAAAACAACTTGTGGACAATGGTGGAGCAGCTCCAGTGAGTCTTTTGAAGCATAAATTTCTAAAATATAACTCATAAGCCATAAATCTAAAAGTGAACAGCTCTTTTATACTAACTGCAAACCACTACATTTAGTATTTAGCATGCATATGCAGAGATTTTAAGTTGCCTTTTAACTGAGATTCATTCTATTTACTGTCCAATACCTAGGAGCTCCTAAGTGAAAGCTATTGGGAAGCTTTCACATTTAAGAAAATGACAAAAGAAAGAAAGAAGTCAGAACACAGATGTTGTGTTTTTCAAGCTTCCAGTCAAGATGTTGAAAACAATAGTGTTAAGCAATAAATGCAATAAAAAAGACATTTTGACAATAATTTAAACAGTAGAGGAGATCTAGAAATGAATCAACCTGTGCTTAATGCTAAGGCATTTTTATTGACAACTAATTTCCAGCTAATCAGAAATTCATAGTTTAGTATGACTAGTACCACTGGTATAACAATGGTGCATATCACTAATTAGTGTGAATGCTGAAAAGCATTCACAGTATTGTTATTCTTAAAGTGACAATTTCAATAAAAATTGCCAGTTATTTAAACTTAAATGAATTAGAAAAATGTATTATATCATTAAACAGTGCACGACTGGATGGGTCTCGCTTATTCAAAGAAAACAAGCCTATGGTGTCCATTAACACACACAAGTTGGCTTTGGACCAAAAGAAACTCTGATATGATTGTGACACATCAATCTTTCATGAACTCACTCACTTTAGCCAGACTGCAACAAACCCTTCCTCCTGCTACTGCTTAGTTTGGATAATGCGTTGATTATATTCCATTGCTGGCATGGACGCAGATAGCTGGAAACGGTAGAGTACGGTAGTTATATTTGTTATATTTCTTTGAAGTCCACCGACTGGAGCAGATGCATAGCTGTAAACTAAATTCTCTGCAGAAAAGTCCATCAGGTCACAAAAAATAGACGGGCACTCGGATGTCCGTACGGACCCTCACGGTCACGTCCGATGATCAAATTTCTGGCACTTGGACACAAGTGGAACCGAGCAGACTCACAGACATGGAAAGCATGATAAAGGTTTAATCAGTGAGGAAGGAGAAATATTTGAATAAGTTCACATCCTCAAGTTGCGATGAACCCAAACCAGTTAAACTGAGAGATTATTCAGTCTGGACATTTGAATGAGTTGGATGAGTTTGGTTTTCTTGAGAACACCATTGGAATACTGAATGTCTTCAGGTGATCGTGACTGAAGCTGTGAAGCCAGCCAAGATGAAACAGTTGACAGATAATCATCCTGTCAAGTGAGTAAAATACTGAGAATGAGAAAAGAACTCAAAGCAGTAACCACGGTATCAAATGGAGGGAACTAAATAGGTGGAAAAACTGACCCACCATCCAAAATAAGTCTAGATAAATCACTGTGTGTGCTCCTATGAGTGTAAATATAAACATAAAATCATATAATCTGAATCTGCATTCCACAAAAAAACTCACCGAGTTTGATGGCACACCGAGGTTGGTCTCGATGTAGGTCTCGGTTTTAGGTTCTACTGCTTCCTCGGCTTCCAGGATCTTCTCCACGGGCATGTCCTCGTTGGCGCAGCTGGTAGACTCCACCTCGTTCTCATTTTTCTCCTTGGCTCGCTGGCGCTCCTCCTGAACGGCTGCATGTAACAAAACTGGTTTCGGTCACTACTGCTGTTTTACAAGGTCAGTATGTGATCAAAAACACACTTTGAAAGAAAGAAAAATGCAAGCTAATAGGGTTTTGACTGTGAAGCTTAGCAGCTGTTTTGGTTCACATTCACAGTTTGGTTCAATGTGATAAATAAACTGTGCACTGCAAGTCCTGCAACTAGTGAACAAACATCTAGCCTGAGTCTGTTTTCAGTGCTGAATCTTCCCCTTTGATTAATCACTTGAATTCTTGCTACGTTTGTGAGTGTGGAATAATTGTCCACACTCGGCTCTACATCGGTAGTGAACTAAATACATATCTGGTGCTTGTTCATGGCTGCTTGTGCTTGCCTGAGTCTGTAATTTAGTGTTCGACATTAAGTGCATCTTGGTAAGCAACTGAATAGTTCATAACTCCGAATGTACAATGCCAGCAAAAACATAGCCGAGAGAGTTTAATCATCAATAATTGCTTCAGCAGTGAGGATGGAAAACAGAAAGACCTTGGGTCTGCATTATGTACAACAAAGCAGCATGGAAATGTCCAAGGACATCTTCCAGTTTCCTTATCAAAGATAAGTCTTCTTTACGCAGTGCTCACTGACATACACAGATCATTTCTAGATAAATAAATAACATTTGGCCTGTCACTCTTTTGCTACACCATGAATGGAAGCCAGAACATCCAAAAAAAAAAAAAAAGTCTCAGCACAAATCAATGAAGACTTTATCGTGTCTAAAAACACATTCAAACGCAACCGTGCTGGTTCTGTCATCTGATTGGCTTGGCAAGCAGACACAGGAAATGGTTTGTGTGCCGAGCAGACACAGAGACTCACTGCGGCCGAGGCAAGAGAAACCGCACCTCCACCCTCAAGTGAGAATGAAAAAGACGCATGTCTGTGTGTTTTCCGTCTTTTCAAAGGGCTGTAATTCACTTAATTCAAAACACCACCGAAAAAAGTACTGTGGCTTTTTTTTTACATGTTTTTCTTCCAGCCATGGATTAATAAAAAGCTCTTGACATAATGTGTTTTGTGATAAAGGGCTGTTGGAAATTTAAAGTCAGCATGCAGGTTTATATACACACACCTGGAGAGCTGCACTGCCACACACACACACACACACACACACACACACACACACACACACACACACACACACACACACACACACCACACTATCGCACACAATGGGGTTTCAGATCTGACTGAAGATCTGTCTTCTTGAGTTTCCCTTACTCTGGTTTCTATTCCAAGTCCCGAATCAGAGAGGCCGTGGTCTTGTTGTGGGGGGGAAAGGAAAGCAGGGGTTGTTAGAGGAGGAGAGGGAAAGGGGCCCCACTTTAGAGGAACTGCTGTCTGGCAGTGGAGGTCAGCTCAAGGGTAGAATACTTGTGTTGGAGTCAGGGAGAGGTGAGGAGGGCTGAAATCATGTTAGCTTTATTCTCCCCTCCTCCTCCTCTACTCTCCTGACTGGGAGAGCATAAATTCATTTAATCCTGTTTTTCTGTGGATTCGCTCAGCCTTTTGGGCTACTGTTGCCATGTTCTCCAACCACAGCCCCCGGGCTGCATGGGGAGGCTTAGGCAGCATTGCAAGTGAGGCAGAAGGCAGTAAATGATAATATCCTTGAAAGGAATAAAGAGCCCAACAATGACATAAATAAAAACAAGAGAGAGGAGATGGGAGGCCAAGTAAAGGTCAGGAAAAAATGGCCTTAGATAGAATATCCTCCAAAACATACCAATGAAAAGAAGAAACCTATTCTCCTCATTAACTGTGTTTTCTTCAGTAACCACCCACAGACACCTGGTTAACACATGCTGCTGTTTTTGCATCCTTAGATCTCTTAGCCATCTCCAAGCATCAAGTAGTGTAATCTATGCACTCTTTTCAGTAAGCATGGTTGCCTTGATGAAGAAAGGCAGTAACTGGCTTGTTCAACGTGCAAAAGAGTGCTTAACAGCACTGCTGAAAGGGCTAATATTTTTAACACCTAGATGGAGTGTTAAAATTCACACCTCACAGAATGTTTTTCCTCCCCTCAGACCACTTTCAACCCCACTGTAAGCTTCCCCCTGGAGACGCTTTACGCTCCATACGCTCCATAATGAATTACAAAAGCTATCTGTCAATTCAGTGTTCACGTTGTGTTGCTGGGTTTCTTGAACTGCTTTGAGCCAATATAGCCATATTAAAAAAAAAGAAGAAGCTGAAGATGACATGAGAACTTGATATAAAAACAAGTGCATGGGTGCGGTTTGGCAGTATGCAGCAGACACATGTTTCAAGATGTGCCATTAATCCATTTCTGAAGAAGAAATGCAAAAAAAGGCAAAGTTGAGAACTGGTAAAACAGAGGGAATAAAGTGTAGCACACAAACGGATCATCAAAATGATTCTCCTTTGAACAAGGACGATTACGGGCAATAAAGCCGAACCCAGAGTACTCAGGTTCACCCCAAAGTCAAGATAAGTCAGGTTAAAACCTGCAGCCAAAAAATCCATTGGTTTGAAGTGCAACCGAATCCCAGAATCTCAATGAGAACTGAAGAGTCAGTGTTTCTCTAAGTTGTATTATGTATTTGTTTGGGGTGGTTTTCTATTTAATACTTGGAAGTAAAAGGTAATTATTATCCAAACACAACAACACCAGATAGTCACGTGAAATTGAATAATTAAGTGTTGTAATTATGTTTGTGTGATGTGAATATTAAAAGCCCGACAAGGGATGAGGGTTAAAAATGAGAAATAGCTAGAAACTCTATGCGCAGCACATCGGTTTCTTGCTCCAATTCAGAACTTGATAGTCTTCATTTCATTGTGTGCTATAACAGCAACAACTACCATGTGACTGTGATTCACCTGTTCAGTACTATGGAGTCCTTCTATGCACTTCTGTCAGTGTTTTTACTGTCATTATTGAAAGGATCAGAGAGATTAATAATCACTGCCTTATATAAGAACTCACAGATGTCAGCAAATCCCTGGAGGGAAATTGCCAAAATTATTGGAAGTACAAAGAAGTGGAAAATCATGTTTGCTTCAAAAAAAAATCAACAACAACAAAGAATTGGCACCCAAGAGGGTGGGAAAAAAAGTCTTGTGAGTTTATTTGTTTCTATGGTGGCTGGCACCACATATAAAGCACTGGGGCTCGACCACAAGGCAATTAACACCTTGGAAATGAAGCATGAATGATGGCAACGGCGTTAGCTACTTACGTCGGTTATGCCGTAACCCCGACAAAGATTGAATGCAGACGTTTAAATCTTTTAGTCTTAAAGACCAACGTCTGATTTAGAAGAAAAAAGGAGCTGAAGGTTCTGTTTTGAAGAAAGATGGGATTTGCATTTGCACAGACCCAGTCCATGTTAATAGCCTCTGAAAATGGGAGACTATGGAAAAAAATAAGTGTAATTCCTAAACAGGTAAAGGAAAACTTCTGTTAAACCTTTTGAATTAAAGCTCAAAGTCTCTGGTCAAAGTCTGCAGTTCCAGTAAAATAAATATCTATTTATGTGTAGGTAATGGTTTCCTTTTAAAATAACATTAACACTGAAAAATGACTGAATAATGGTAGGAATTGAATAATGATCTTAAACTGGGTTCGAATAATAGGCCCTATATTTCGTCCCATGTGGCTGATCGAATCTTTGAATGTCTTCCAAAAGGACAGCATTATGTGCACACCATCAGCAGCTTATAACTTTAGGAATGTGGTGCAAATTTTTCATCGTGCTGTGCAATTACAAGACATCATCCAGTTGGAGTACTCAGTTGGAGTATTAAACTTCACATATCTTGCAACATAAGTACAGCATCCATCTTTTGCACTGTGTGAAAAATGAGGTGGCTTACAATAACTAGGTAAGCTGTTCCCCACACCACATGTAAATTTCCAAAAATCATTAGAAGGAGAAAAAGACAAAAAAGGATTCCAGGAAATACAGTGGAAACATAAACTCGCATAGTTTCATAGTTTAACCGAGAATGTTTTTCTTCAGTCTACATTGCTGAAGTCTCCGTGTGGATTGCCTGCTCTCACAAACCCTCATTTGGTTTCCATGCACAGCCATGTTTGATTCATGGCGCTGAACAGATGAATGCATTCTAAAAAACTAATGCTGCAAGCAGAAAATTCTCTCATTTGAGATGCCGGGTTTTCTAAAAATTTGATGCGTCTCTAACATATGACGTCAGTTACCCTTGACATCGCTTGCTGGGTGAGATACAGTTGGTCTTTGCAGCTCTGCATCACTTGCCAAGTTTATCAAAGTATTCTGTTTTTTGTTTTCTTTGGCCTATAAGAAGTGGAAACTTTGCAAAGAAAAGGAAGGATTACATTTGACATGTCAAAGTATTTTATGTCAACTTCTAGGGTATTTTGAAAGCTCTGTCGTTAATGAAGTCGTAGCTTAAATGAGTATTTGTGTGCAGTGTTGGGTGTAATGTATATAATGAAATTACATTCTTCAGTAACATAGTAATGTAACGTGCTCTTGTACTAAATTCTATCATTAGATTAAAGTTAAAATGACGTTGTTACTAAAAGTTCTTCAGCTGGGAGGCAGATAGAAAGGCGGAAACATAAAACATCAAACAAACTTTCTTTTTTTCCTGTGAACTTGTGCTACAATCAGATCATTTCAGTTTGCGTGCTAGAAGCAGAAAAATGGTGAAGTGGAAGATGGACATTACTGCATCCAGGAAACAAACAACAGCTTTGTACTACTAACATAACTTCGGCTCTTTGCAAAAATCTGCACAGCCAGCATGCTAACGCAAAGCTAAAGCCCAGATATGTGTGCTGGCCCCAGCCCAGCAGTCAGGCCCTAGACTTCAACAGGTAACAAAGGCAGTGATGAGCAGTCACGCTTGCAGCGCTGCAGCTTCCTTTTCAGCCTGTGCATTATAGAATTAAAGTAGAATCGCTGTGGCAATTGCTTTGAAGTGTCTTTGGGCTGTTTTTCAACTTTGCTTTGTTTTTTCAGCTTTGTGTTCATACATAAATACTGAAAGAAAGATCGTATGTGTGTCCTTATTAGAATAGGGATTTGTTTTGGTGTAGCTTAAGTTATATCGTTAACTATACTGTTAACACATTACTGATGAGTAATGTGAAACTGATATATTGAATAATGCAACAGTTATGTACTGCACTTTCATTTCAAGTAATGACTCCGATACTGTTTCTGCACCAGTGTCAAACGCACCAGCAGTTTGAGTGCAAACCAAATTCAGAATACCCCAAAATTCTGGAATCTCAAAATTCAGTATATTTCTACTCACAGAAATGCCAAAAATACATATCATATGGACTTCTGAATGTACTCCTCGGCTACTCACTTCCCCAAAATTGAGCCTTTTAAAAGGAAGATTAATAAAGATAAGGAAATAGGAAAGTGAGACATTATCCTCAACGGTATGTGCTGTACCTTCTCTCTTCATGCCCATGGCTAAACACTTCTGGTAGCGACAGTACTGACAGCGGTTCCTCTGGCGTTTATCAATGACACAGTCTTTGTTGTCACGACAGGTGTAGGTCAGGTCTTTGCGGACAGTCCTTTTGAAGAAACCTTTGCAGCCCTCGCAGCTGTAGACTCCATAGTGTTTACCTGAGGAAAAGGGAAAAGAGATTGTTTGCTTAATGTTAGTTTTTGATCCTTATTTTGGAAACATAAGGTGACACGGTGCACATGGAATTTGCTGAGTTGGCTGTTTTGCTGCTTCTTCATTAGTACACACCTATGACCTTACCAACTACAACACATTCGCGGAATTTACTGTGATTTCATGAACATGTTATTTACCATTCTGTGGTTACAATAACACAAAGAAATACACAGGAAACACTTTGAAAGAACAAAACAAAAATTATGATCACAGACTCTTCTACTAACTCTTTGGTGATGAAGGAGAAGAGAGGCTCACTAAAGGGAATATGTGAGGGGGGGGGGGGCATTCTAATATGGTGTTGTCTGACCCTGTTTCTAACAGCTCTTTTTTGTTATTTATGACGGATGGAGTCCATTTGGTTTCTCCAGTGTTGATCAAACTGTTTCTTTGTTAGCTCTCTGCTGGGTCAGACCACCAGAGAAGATAAATAAAGCCCCCGAGCACAGCTAAATGAAGCATGACTTGCTATTAAACATTGTTTTGATTTTCCCCCCTTGGGTGCACACAGCACCAATGACGCAGGATGACAGTAAAACTGTCCAATGAATTAGATATCCACCTTTATCCAGAGGCTACAAACTTTTCATGGTTATCCCCAGAAAAAAATGAAACACATGGTTATTTGTTGGCAGTGTGGGAAAAAAAGAGATTTAAGACAACTCTACAAAGATGAGTGCTGTGAGAGTCATTTCCTCGGATAACCCGTGGTTATCTGTTCACCCAGGGTTAATGTTCTTGTGGTTCAGGTGGTTAAGCTAGAAGTTGGCCAAATGATAGCCAATGTTTAAGAAAACTCTGGAGCAAGCTATTGTTCTTTGAGAAGCCAAAAAGGTTATTTACAATCTTTATTTATTGTGCAACCTAAAGTGCTACGTGAGAAAGTTTGATTTGGGACAAAAAAAGATTACAGAAATATTAAGGGTGCCAGACTTAAATGGAATTTTATGCCTTTTCTTGTAACACGTTATATTGACTTTGCTTTATTGTTATCGTTACCATCTTTCAGAGACTAATCAAAAAATAGCCTTAAACGACCACCCACCCACCCATCCGTCCATCCATCCGTCCATTACTGCTTATCCATGTTTGGGTCAAGGGGCCAGGAGTCTAAGGAGAGACATCCAGGCCTCCTTCTTCCTGGTCCGTGTCTCTGCTCTTCTAGGGAGACTCCAAGGCATTTCCAAGATAGCTGAGAAATGTAATTTGTCTAGTTTCAGGTCTTTCCCAGTGCTTCCTCCTGAAAATCCACTAAACAGGCTCTGGTTGGGCAAACTCCCATGCACACTCGAATATCCCGAAGAGGATAAGCAGCTTGCCCAGTGTTCCACGATAAAGACAAAAACCACATTGTTTCTCCTGAACACACTGTAGAATATATCTTGTATCTCTATCTGAATATAATTTGCCAGTGTCTGAACTCTAACTGTGTTGAAATACTTCCAAGTATTAACTCCAAAATCTGCCTCTACTTGTCCCACTATTCATTGTACTGACTGCTTCACAGTAGGGATGAATGATGAGTTGCGCATGGTCGCCTTCAGACATAGCGCTTTCTTGTTTCAGTAAAAAAGCGATTCAAGGTTAGGTTTCATCCAATCAAGATGATCTTTTGCCACATGATTTAGGTTCCTTTCATGTGCGTTTCTGTTGCTGCCCTCACATGCTTTTTTTTCCAGGAGTGGCTTTTTTCTGGCTTCCCTGTCATTTAGCCCAGATTTTTAAAGAATTCTGATGACTGTTGTCTTTCCAGGAAGCTCTCCCATTCCAACAAGCTGCAGTATGTAGTTCTGCCAGAGCATACTGTGGGGCCGTTTTCTGACCGAAGTTCATGTGTGGATCTTCTCCGGAGGTTTCTCCATGTGGTTAGAGCCCAGGCTTGGGCAAGATGCTGTGTAGTCCTGTTTTATTTTAATTGGAAACAGTGCAATGTTATCCAGTCTAAGCTGTTTAGATTTTTTTTTAATAATCTATCCCATGTCAAGTCTCCCTACAATCTTTTAGAAAACTGCATAAAATTCTTAGAAATTTCTGATTGGGAAGTGATTTGTGAACATGTTCAAATAGTCACCTAAGTGCTAAGCAGTGCTAAATGGACTTACATGGAGAAGTTTCACTGCTCATCTGGAGTTCTAAATGATTAGTGGGAATTTCCCAGAATTTTAAATACTGTAGTGTAGAGGTGACTTCATTGTGTCTGCTGCACACTGTTGAAGCAGCTGTTAAAAATTTTAGATGCAGGAGATGCAACATTCATTGTTCATCAATCCGTTGATGAACAATGGCATTCCAATCACTGCATCCAGTTGGATGTTACTGCACCCAGTTGGGGGCAGACATCAGAAGGCCCATTTTGAGTAACTACCTATTTCAGGGTCTTCTCTTGTGTGTTTCTGGTTCTTGTTCCCCTCTACTCTTGTAAACCCCTTCTTATCCCAGAGGTGTAGGGCTCTTATAAACCCATATACTCCAATTTGAAGCTTCTCTCTAAAATGTGTAGTCCAAAAAGCCCCATCCATTTCCACTGACATCCTCCCAAGTGAACTTGGTGTTGCTGTTCACTGCACAGATGTGCTCTGTGAAAGTTTCCAGTTCCTGTGTTTTGATTTTCCCCCTTCGCACACCTACCTTTAAAAACAGTAATCTCCAGTGAAAATAACCTTAGCCATTACCAGTTCTCAAAAAGATTTCTGACAAGGTCAATTCTGACATTGAATTATTTTCATGCTTCCTTTGCAGACAGTCATCACAGTCTGATGTCACTCACCTGAGGAGCGGTCACCGCAGATGGCGCAGATGTGTTTGGTGAGTGACAGAGCTGTGCTCGAGGGCTGGGCAGGCACCTTCATCACGCCGTTGAGGCCCAGTGGAGGCTTTATGTCCTCTGTACTGCTGACAGAGTTCATTGGAGAGTTCAGCTGGAACATCAACACACAGAAACACACACGCCGACAAGTCACAATGCAGCCCGCTAAACTCAAAACATCAAAATCGCACAAGCACCGTCAAATAAATCACATAAGCTTAAGGTCAAATTCACCAAGAAGATTATACACAATAAGGACATTAAACTGGAGTAATGTCACTCAGGGAGTACTGAACAATCTGAAATGTACAAAACAAAAGCCATATTAAGACTACTGATGCGTAATATAGATGGTCAGCAGCCCTAGCAACACCTCTTTTTTCCTCTGTCATTTCTCCCTTTCACTCTCCTCCCTCCTGTTCCCCTCATTTTCAGATCTAAATCTGGCGCAGCAGGATCCTGCACCACTCAACCCCAGGAACTCTTTTATTCATGCTCTCAACAAGCCCTGCTGGCTCCAAAATGTTCAGCGGTAGCATAACTCTACTGCAAAATTGAACAGTACAGCAGAATAAAGAGACAGCATTTGTTTTAGCAGCAGCGCAACGGCAGCCCTAAGTCTAACTTCAATAGTTGCCTGTGTCTCTCTCTCTGAAGGAGCTTTGATACAATTCATCCAAAAATGACCCCTCTTTGCTTTCTGCTGAAAGTGAAAAGCAAGGGGGAGGCTAATTATTATAACAAGCTACACGCTGTTTCCAGAGGAGATAAACGTTAAGGGGAAATGTATAAATTATTCACTAAATATACTGGATGGAACAGAAACAAGCCAACTATTAGTGGGAAAAAAATGACTTCATGAAAAAAAGTAAAAGCACTAGTCTGATCGACTGTGCTAAAACCACAGTAATTTTACATGATGGTAAGAAAGGGGGAAGGAAAACTGCATATAGTCAGACAAGTAGATTCTCCACAGGCACATTCATAACAGAGGGATGAGAGACAGAACACTATTGGCAGAGCAGAGCCAGATGTGTTTTTATTAAGTTACCACACATGAGAAATGACTTATAGCACAAACACTTTCTGAGTTAAAATTAAGTTCATACTGTTGCAGAGAAACCCTGTCTATATCTGCTGGGATTAGGAATGACAGAAAAGCCATTTACATCTTATGATGACAAGGCTAACATATTTTGTCACTCTAAAACACACCCTAAGCTGTGTTTAAACTCATCTGACAAAAGTACATTAAGAGCATAATGGAAGAACATAGAAAAGTATACATCAGGGCAAACAATGCCCTTTATTAGACGCACAGGACATAAACCAAACAGCCACTGAGTTAATATGCATGTTGGTAAGTGGTTACACAACTATAGTTGTAGCTGTGTAATATCTTTATAACTGGGAATTACAGAATCTCAGGTTTACATTGCTACAATTCATAGAAATATCACTTAGATTATACATGAAACTAATTAGGATATTAGCTAAAAATGCCTTGAAATTAAAATGGGTATTATTCTGTTTTTATTCAGAGTACACGAGTAAAGGTGATAGACTTAAAAACTTTCAGGAAAAAAAAAGAAGAGAAGAAATGTTTTAAGTGATTTTTTGCAAAATCACATTTATTGGATACACACGTGTGTCCCGGTGAGCACCAAATGGATTTTTGATCCACATATTGTTAAAAGCAAAATCATACTGAAAACTTAAAAGAAACAGACGGGCTGAAAATCAAAGGAGCTGTAGCTGAGATATACTGACTTTTAGTGAAGGGTCAAGCTCCAACAACCCTCCAGTCCAGAGTTCCCATATTTGAACTCATCAGCATGTTTCATAAGAAAAGAAAGTCAAGGAGCAAAGCTCCTCTAGAACCATGGACAATATATCAGTTTAATTTATTTTTATTTCTCTATGTATTTTTACAGATCATGTATCATAAAGATAAGGCAGATAAGATATGCATACAAAAAGACTTTTATATGCACCTTATATGTAAATATGTAAATAACTACATACTCAAATTGCAAGTACACACGGCCAAGATACTACCTGCACTGCACACAAACTGTATACAAGCCACTGTGGCATGTCCCCTTCAACAGATTACACACCCTAAAATCTGATCCCTCTTTAATGCTGGAAAAAAATGTTAGCTGTGCCAAATACATACATATTGCTGGAAGCTACAATACACCATGCTTCCATTGAGAGAAATATTCAAGCCCATGGTGATTTGCCATCACATCAAATAGGAAATACTAGATGTCTCCTGCATCATTTTACACATATTTCCAGAGAATTCAGCATGACATATGGGGTGTCATGGGAACTTGGGAAACTGAGTTGAATTTCAAAATTATAGCTTACATAAGTTAGAATGTTTGGCTGTGTGAATGATGGATTAACTTGGGAGGGAGGGATGAGTGAGTTAAAAAGGCTAAACCTCCTTTCACCATAAGGAAATGTTTAGTTTACACCCTGGCACTCACCACTGGCCTGAGCTATGCACACAAGCAAACACACGCATACAGAGGCACACACAAACAGCCTCAGTTGGAAAAAAAAGGTTACCATCCTGCACAGTTTCTTATAGTACTTTAGACATCAAATAAAGGTTAAAAAGGAAACATTGTAGAAAAACACAATACAGTGCAGAATTTCAAGGGACACTAAAGGTCAGCAATGCATGCAATTCAATATCTGAATCAACTCCTGGGAGTCAAAGCTGATGTCATTGTTTTCTTCCAGTATAAGGCCACGTGATAGGAGCGTGACGAATCAATTAAGGATATGCAGTGGCTTACAAGATGCAATCAGCCAGAAAAAGTTGGTTTAATTTTTGCATCTGGTTTTCAAGCTAAAAAAATGTCAGTGTTCATTGTGTATCTACTTATAGCAGAGCTTATCAAACTTTCAAATACCCCCCCCAAAAAAGTTTGCAACACCAGTCCCACCAATCCTTGCAGAATCTTACTAAAATAAATATCTTCAAAACTGGATTTAAAAGAAAAACATCCCGTTTGTTTTCCATCATTAGATGATATTCATTCAGATGAACTTCTTTTCATATTGTTCCCCTGGTTATCCAAGCAAGCCAAAAACCCAACTCCCCACTGAGGTTCAATGCCCCACCAGGGGGCCTGTCACACAGTCTGTGGAACACCATGGTTTAAGGGGTCCTAAAACAAAGACCTAGTGTTGATGCTAGTGGTAACTGTGAGAAAGAAAAAATTAAATGGAAAAGATTAGTTTGGATATAGCCTCAAATTTGCAGGACAAAAAGGATACAGGGATATACCTGCATCACTTTGGCAGCACGTGAACACACCCACATCTATGCAAGTTTATCCACATGCATGCACAAACCCACATCATGAGGTCTTACCTCAGTTAAACGCCTGAGTCTAGTCCTTTCCCCTGGAGTGCAGCACTAACAGAGCTGTCTTCCTGACTGAGACAGTCTCTATCAAACCCTCTTTCTCCCTGACAGAAAAGATTCTTCCCTCTTACAATCTATTTTCAGTGAACCTGCAACTCAATCTCAGCAACACTGCTCCCCAACAGTGGGGTGGGCAGGCTAGGGGGGACTTTTCTTTTCCTTCTGCCCATGGCGATGGAGACAAGGCAGGGAGATTAAAGTGGCTCAGGACTAGTTCTGGAAATAGAATATATGCACCCGCCCTTACAGCACACACACACATATGTGAACCATTGCAGGGAGGTATGCCAGTTGTGTGTACAGCTCTGGGAAACCCCACTAACAAGCCTCTCTTTAGACACCAAAGAGACACTTTAAGGACAAGAAAGCTTAAAACAGACGAGGGTCATTTAAAATCCAAGACTTTTCAACGTAACACATGATTCCCTGCAGAACAATGTACAAAACAAAAGAGACCTGAAATGGTCTAACTAAATTACACATTTTTTCTCTCTCTGCAGGTGTTACATAACATGTTGTGGAGGGCATTCCAGTGATACATCCAGTACAGTGGGGGTCTGTGTCTGCTTGAGGGTGTCAGATTCTGCACTGAACTGATATGCATGATTATGTGTTCTGTGCCACCTGCTGGCTCCAGCATTCTGCTGTAACATTCAAACATTAGGCTTAAGGTGATGAATTAATAGTTCTACAAATATGAATGGAAAAGCGACAGAAAGTATCAGCGGCTGCATGGAAATCTATAAAAAAACAGCACGTAAAAAGTTATTTATAAGTGTTACTTTGGTTTGGAATTACAAAAACACTATGACACATTGTGCCAAACAAGTGTTTTTTTATGTTGGGTCATGATAGCAACAGATATGTGTGGTTCATTACAGTGAAGAAAAAACAAACAAACTAGAGGTGCACCAATCGATTCTCCGGGGACCAACATGGGACGATTTCCGACCAGTTAGCCTCCAGTATGGACACTTATGAACTGGTCCATTTTGTGGGTGCAAAACATGCACACAATGGTGCAGGTAAATCTCACACACACACTTATAGCCACACACTATCATGTTAGTGTGGAAGTTACCCAAAGTAATCTATGGCACACCACCACAAAAACGCTCAAACCAACAAACCACATACCCGATCATCCCCTGTGCATTTTAAAGAAACTACAAAGGAAAAGTGGCTAAAACTAAAGCTATCCAGAGCTCAAAGTGAGACACAAGCCAGCAACCTAAAGTATGTGGTAAGAACAAAGGATGAAAGCACAAATTTAGAAACAAGTGAGAAATAGAAAAGATTTGACAATGAAGCACCTGCCCTGTTATCTGTTAAAGGAATAAACGCACTGGAAAATGATTTAAGCACCTGACATTTGCTTTGTTACATAAATCAGTACAAATTGTAGTTTAATAATTCATTTTATTTTGAAAATAAAAATTGGAATTGGCCAATAAAACTGCAATCAGTTCATTTTTAAGCGAAACCAAATTTTTACTATGTGACAGCAGCCAAAAACAGTACATCATGGCCTTTATTACACCAATATATACTCCAGTTACAAAGTACAAAAAATCCAATCATGAACCAGTGAAGATATCTCAAAAACTAAATATACTACAAAAAGATAAATGACAATACAATAAATTATAATATTTTATTATTGAAACCATAAA